GAATAACATTAGCTAATGAGGGCAATGGTGAAAAGTGAGAGAGGATTAGTGTATCTTTGTCATGTCTTAAACAGCTTTTAATGGTAAATTGGTGATAAAACATCTGAGGCTTCTGCTGTGGCAATATTTGACAGCTGTTTGTTTCAGCAGTGATATTTGTGATAACAGAAAAGAGGGACAGTACTGCTTTGAGTTCTATATCCTGTGACTAGGGCAAGGTGAGCCAACTCACGGAGTCATGCAGAGCACATCTGAGCTTTGGAATTGAAAAATAAGTGAAATTCGGTATTTGCAGTTGTGTTATGAGCATGGGAGAGAGACTTCAAAATACATGTACAGAAAAGGAATAGATGTCTCAATCCTTTTAATAAATTGCCTTCTGGATTATATAATAATTCAGTGGTGGGGTTTTTTTTTTACATCCTGCATATTTCTCTTCTGGAGACAAGAGTCAGAAAACAAACTAATTGATGCTGTTCCTCAGGTATTAATTGGTGATGAGGAGTTACTGGATCAGCAGCCAATGGTAACTTACTGTTAGTGCACCTACTCATGTTCTAGGATTGAAGATGGTCCCTAAATTATTTTTCAAATCCATGCCCACTTTTGTTGTGACTTGGATGCTGTGTAGTACATAGACTTTGAAGGCAAAGAAAATGGTTTCTGTTGTGATAAGCTAATAATTTTCGTTAAAGGATTGGATTTGGTTTGCTCTTCCTGGGGTCTTTTTTGCTTGTCAAATTGAGTTTTTATTTTAGACATCGAGGAAATAAGTAGCTACCAAGAAAGGATGTGGGAGTTCACTGTGCAGAGGACTTAGCAATGCATGAATTTAGCAAAACCCCAAATCTGCTTCAAAAATAGAAACAGTAAAAAAATCACATAAAAATTTGGAGCAGATGAATAATTTTCATCATCTCTAACTTGTTAAGATAATGTTTTGATGTTGGGAGAGCAAGATAGAAATTAGCATTCAAACAGATTGAAACTGCTGTACTTTCATTGAAAATCTTTCTAATTTATGATTTGACAAATCAGTATTTATTCCTTTGTGTTGTGGACTTCAGTTCCCTGAACTCTTCAACTGCTGAAATGTCTGCATCCTGAAGTTTTAGTGCACTGTCCTGGATACCAAGAAAGTAGAAATAGCTACTATCCCACGCTATTCTGCATGCATGAATCAAGAGCTTGAAGACCTGCAGAGACAGCAGTCTCCCTAACCTTGCTAAATGCTTGAGAAAGAAGTATGAAATCCTATCTAAGTTGTTTTGCAGAGAAATTTGAAGGACAAAACCAACACAAACCGTAGGCCAGTTGGAAAATAAAAAAACCTGAATGTTTCTAACAGTTCCACAGTTCCAACTTCGTGGAACTATTTGATGCCAGAGCTTGACCTTTTCTGAGATCTGGATCTGTTCAGTGCCTTCAGCAGTGGGTTCCTCTAAAGGGGCTGTAGCGCTGTGGCTTGCTTGTCATACCCAACTGCAAATTCAGTGGTCACCAGCATGAAACTGAAATTTGTGCTTCCAAGCTGAAGGGGGTTTGTGATAGATCCCTGATTAAACATGAAAAGCATGCGTATCAGCGTATGGGAAAGGGCTTTTTTGATATACCTTTGTGTTGTAAAACAATATTTGAGTGGCCTTGCTTTTGTTTTTGTGTGTGTGGTTTTTTTTTTTTTCAATTCTTTTTAAAGCTTCTAAATATCCATGCTGTGAGGACAGTTTTCATGTGTAGAGGTCAGTGTTTGGCAAATTGTGCAGCCAGTAACTTTCAGGGGACTGTCAGCTTTTGGGTTTAGGCAAGCGGTGCTTCACGTAGCCCAAAATTACCTGAAAGCTAAAGACCAGCGTCAGTAGTGATTCATGATTTTATCGTGGTCTTATCAAAGTCACAATTCAGTTTGCAATATACTTGGGAGTACAGATGGAAAAATTAACTGGGAATTATGAGGAAGACTGTGGGCTGATAGATTAAACACAATAGAGTGTAGTCTCGGGTTGAGGCCAAGTTTCTTCAGTTACTGCACAGAAGAAAAGGGAGCAGAATTCAACAGAGGACAGCATTCCTCAGGCTGCCTTCACTCTCTTTAGTTGCATAAAGTCTTCTTGCAAATTTAAGAAACCATTGCTTTGTGTAGATGGAAGAGTAAAAAATGCTTTCTTAACTAGTAATATCCTGCCAGAGGTGTATAGTATCTTTATTAAAATTTAACAAGAGAAGTATACCAAGCAAATATCTAAGAGAAGAGGATTAAAAAGAAGTGGAAAAATCCTTCTAGAAACACTAACCTGGAGCTGTTGTAACATGATGATTGGGTATTAGTAACAACACTGTTGAGAATACTCTGTTCTGTCTTCCCAGCCTAGTGAAATATTTCAATACAAAGTACCTCTCATATTTTTTTTTTTCCCTCTCTTTATTTTTTTTATCCTTTATGATATGTAGGCAACAGGTAAGTCAGAAGTGTCAGGCTGAGAAGTCTGCGGCTAAATCTAGTGAGACTAAATAAAAGAAACAGGCTCCAGTCTTGAAGAACCGTGTGACTGGCAAGGGTGTTCTCTGGTGCAGATACCTCCTCTAGCTTGTTCTCAGTTGAAGGCTGAATCTGTTGTTCTGTATCTGGTAGCATCTTTGGGCAGCAACGGTGTGGTGGTGGGAACCAATTGGTTTAAGTAACGCTTTCTTTGAGTGATGGGCTCAAAATGTGTTTGAGATACAGGTTCTTTTTATTTTATTTGATGGCTGTTAGTGTTATTTCTATATTGCACCTCTGAAGAGCCATAAATCAGTGTTGCAAATGTGGTCCGTAGTAGATGAAGTGGTTTGTGTTTTATGTTCCACTAAAAACTGGCAGCAGGGTCAGACAATTTTACCAGAAGAGGTAAATTATATGCTTTCATAGCTCAGAGAGAGAGAGAGAAAGAGATCACACCACATACATTTTTGTGGTTAATGTCCACTTTGGGGATAAAATTAATCTTTCATGCATGTTTTGAGTCGGCGGAGTCGGAACTCTTAGCATTTTAATGTCATTGGGGAATTGTTTCAGCCTCTAGCTATGTTAAATAGAACTAATAATTTCAGCTAATCAGTGTCTAACAACTTCTAAAAAATGGAAACTAGTTTAGGAGTGATGTAAAGAGAAGTTTTCCACATTAGTGGAATGTTAGGCAAATGCTAATGATCTTAGTACAATTTCCACTTGTGTTTTGAGACAGGGTCTCTTAAGGTCACCACAAAAAGTTAACAGTAATGAGTCCTGCTCTAAAACAGATTGCGAAAGCCTGTATAGGTTTCTAAATTTCAAAGTGGGGATATGGGTGTCGTGTGAAAATTAGTCACTGAGTTAGTTTAAAATTTGTTTTATATTAACATTTTTGTTTAAGAAACGTTACAGAAGATAACTTTGCAGCTGAAAGTAAATCTAGAAATAACTAGTGAAGCTGTGGAGCTTTGGGCTGATATTTAGTGAGTCTTTTAACGGTAGTTTTTATCCACCTGAGACAACATTGGCTTCGAGAAGCCTTCAGATCTCCACATGGCATGGTCATGGGCAAAACTTTTAAAAGACAATAGCTTTCACTTTCATCAGTGGGTTTTTGAGAGATGCTCACACTTATTTCATAAATCTCCTGCTGCTGGGACAAGACCTACCGTAGTGTTTCATGTGAATCCATTCTTTTAATTTTTCCTTTAAAGGATTCTTTTGTCTTTGTTACTCTTAGGGCTGATCTGCGATTAAAAAAATCATTCTTCTCGGAGGGGAAAAAAAAAATGTTAGAGGACCAAGACCTTCAAAAAGAAAAAGTAGAAGAGACCGTATGTTTTCTGTAGTTTGGCTGCTCTTCCTTTAGAAGCTCTGTGTTTCTAAATCCAGGTCAAACTTTGGGAAGGGCCCTTCTAGTTACACTGGAAAAACAAGCCCAGAAAAACTTGCCATGGTTGGATCAATAACCCAATTCTAGAGTTACTTGCATTATTGTTAGCTGTTCATTCACAGCTTCTGTTCTTCTTTGACACGTGTTTTAAGGTTATTCTTCCTGTGAGTTTGATTTGACATGGATCTTTTAAAATGCACCTCTAGGCATGAAGGGAGTGTATCGTTGAGCTCAAAACCTATTGCTTTTCTTCATCTGCTGTATAATCATTGTATAAATAGATAAGTATTAGCTTACGTCATAAGAGGAAACAATTGGTTCCTAATCAAACCATCAGGCTGTTTAGTGTATCCAGGAAACTTGGTAGGTGTCAGGTTCTGATGTTAACTTGTGAGCTCTGAGGCACTTTTGTGTGATGAAGATTTGTCTTCAACATCCCTCAGAGCCCATTAGCGCTCAAAATGAGTTTTTAGCAAGCATTGGTATGGTTTTGTGTTTGGGATGGGGTGTTTTGGTTTTTAATCGGAGAATTAAAAGGAGAGATGATAGAGTGAAAGCACTTCTTTTTGTAGGATATATCAACCTGAGATTTCGTTATTCTCAAAGTCTAAAAGTAATGTGCAAACACTTGGATGCCCATGCATAATACAGGGTGCCTTTTGATACTATTATTCCAGGCTTTTGAAACTTTGTAATTTCATTCAGCACCAAAATCAGTAACTGGTATTTTTTTCTAAGTAGGAGAAAGCAGTGGTGTTGTTATTTATCCTCCAGTGTTGGACTGTCCTGAGGGTTTTTGGCCATTGTTTCTTTCTTAATGAATGTATTGTATGTTGCACGTATTTGTTACTGAGTTATTTTGGAGTAAAATAAACATGGTATTTTTAATTTCTATGGCTTACCCGAAGATCAAAGAAAGGCAGAAGAAATGGTGTTACGTCTTTGGCAGTGAGTCTATAGGCCTTGCAGTAGGCAGTGCTGTAATAGAATTGGGCTCCAATTCATGCAATATGCTGAAATTAACCTGTTTTGTGGATGAAATAAAATATAACTGTTCTTGCTATGTTTCTTTCAAGTGGAAGTAGTGATAAAAGAATACTTGTCTTATTTTTGGCACAGGGTTCCAGATTTTGTGAGGGAGAAGCGTTTTGGGAACTGGCTTAAGGACGCACGAGATTGGGCTATATCTAGGAACCGGTACTGGGGAACACCCATCCCGTTGTGGGTCAGTGATGATTTTGAAGAGGTGAGTAAGGAAAAAAACAAGTTTCCAGCTGACAGAAAAGTCTATTTGTGTTGTTTGCTTATTTTGACAGACTTATATCTTTAGCTGCTGCAGTCGTAACTTCTATTGATATGTCTTAACAGTATATGTGTATCTATAATAAGTGATAGATATATGCATTTGTGTGCCCATACACGTTTTCTTTTGCTTGAAAATTGCAAGCAATTTTTCTTGTTTTTTATGTTAGAATTAATCTTATGTTTCCTGGAAGAATTTGAAGTGATGGTACATCTAATAGAAATAACAAATGCAGAGAGAAAACAGCAAGGAAGAGACTGTCTTACTCAGTCCTTTTAGTCTGTTTTTGAAATTCTGATGCTCGGTTACTTCAAGCCAAATGCATTGCTGAAGGTTTAAAAGCAAGTCCGTCAGAGCAGAACAGGGAAAATAGATATATATATTTAGTGCTACAAATATGAGTGTGACAGACAGTAAAAGTGTGAGTCTTGTGGAATGATGAAAATGTATAATGGGGATGCTAGAAATGAGTTTTTGAAGTTGGAAGGTACCCTGCAATTGGTAGCAAAAAACTAATTGCACAAGTGAACTTCACACAGTTTCGATGACAGCTGTTTTACAAGTGTCAAAAACCCCAAGTTTTACGACTGTTTCTGAAGATAATTTTTTTCTGTGTGGGTTAGTTCAATTAGACACATCTGGTAAGTCCTTCCTTGTGCTGGAAGTGAGAAATGCTAATCAGTGTCAGGATGTCCATGGAAGGTGAATACTGATGGCAGCTTCCAAAGCCTTTGTTTTTATCTCCCTGAATTTGAAAAAAATTTAATTTTCATTTTAGATGTGGAAGACTTCAAATAGGAAAATATATGCCAGAAAAGTATTTTGTTGTCTTAAACTGCACTATTGCGTAGATGTGCGCCATAAAGCATATTTTATATCCTCTTTGTTGGAAATCTTATTGATAGGCATGGAGATAGTGGGAGAGGGAGGGAGTTACTCCTTGCAATTATGACTTAAGTATCTAAGAAAGTCTTGACACTTGAATTCTACTTACGCTGTAAGCGTGTTTGTAAATTACTGGCAAACCAAGTGCTTCGGTCTCTCATATAATTTTTAACATTTTTGCAAAATTTTAAGGTATAAACTGTTAGTCTTCAAACTAGAATTGAAGTTCCTTGTTTGGTATAGCAGTTTTTTTAGATAGAGAAAAGGCTTTCAGTTTTGTGCTAAAGTATTTCAAGACTTCCTTCTACAGCTGAAAAAGATTGCGTAAAGGTTACATTACTCCCACTCCTTGCCTCTAATAATATTTCATTTTCTGTCCAGTCTCCCAATATCTGTATTCCTGTGTGTACAGATTTTTTTGCTTTTTTAGGTTTGTGTGGTTTTTTATTTTTAAAAACAATATGATGTGTAGCTTGGAAGATTGACCTTTCCTTTGAAATTAGCTGCGAATATTCTGTCGGCCTTGGTGTTCTGAATAGTGATAGAAATACCGACAGGTCCATTACTTTTATCCGTGGGTGTTATACATTTCTGTTTACTCTGGAGTCTTTGTGTCATGCTTCAGTAGTCGAGTGTGGCTTCTGGACCATGCTAAACTTCAAGTTAGGGTTTTTTTAATATCCACTCTCTTTTTATACATGCACAATATAGCTTTAAAAATAAATACCATTGGAACTGATGTGGAACTGAAGGCCTAAGTGACATCTGCTCTTGTATAGAAATAATATTCACTCAAAATTTTCTGACTTCAGTTTTACTGCAGCCCAGTGCCATGTGAGATTGCAGAGCTTCCTCTTCGTGTCTTGTTCTCAAAGAACACTGTCGCATGCAATTATGCTGTGCATATTAAATCCTGGAGAAGTAATAACAGTTCCTTGTTTAATATACAATAAGGTGAATTAATTGGTATTAAAGTGAATTTTATTACAAATCAATATCTGGTTTCCCACAGTTTTATTTTAGCTTTTAGTTTAGTTTTATTTTAGCATAATTATCAGGTAGAGACGCATAATGGAAGTTAAATTTTGAAGCTTGTGTTTATTACCACATTTCTGCAGACAGTTTATCATTTTAAGCTCTCAAATCTCAGTGATTTCCTCAGTGGAGGAGCACATCTCATTTGGATTAGATAAGAAAAATCTTTTGTATAGCATCCAAGTTGATGAAGTGGACATAGGTTAGTTTTGTGGAACGTGTATGCAAATTATGTATTAACTGTTCAGTGTTGTTAGAGAAATTCTCTGTTTTGTTGCTTGTCACTCATGTAAACTGTTAGCCCTCCACTGGTTTTGGTGCCTCCGGTTTTGCGTAACAGATTTGGATTGAGAGGACTCTGGCTGTGCTCTCCTGAAGGGTGAGGGATCTTCCTCAGTCTGTTTCCAGTCTGCTTTGAGGCTGCATTAAGAATGCCACTTTTGGCTGACCTTAGCAGTCATTTCTTCTACTAATTACTGTTCAGAAGATGCTTTCTAAAGATCTCAGAATGTCTTGCTGATACACTGATACACTGCATGGACTTCTTTCTTTCTATGAACACTCCTCTTTCTTTTATTACAGGTACTTAGCAGAGCTGAAATGACAAAGCAATAAAAGCAAATGTTTTTACTTAGCAGGGACTGCAGAAATATGCCACAGGAACATTGAGGTCCACGAATGCTGCTGGATGGCATATTCTTCCTGTTTACATGGATAATCCTGGATATAATGCTAACGTTCATTTTGTCAGAAGTATTTGACCTTGACTTGGCTCCGGGGTGACCTTATAGCGGTCTTCCAGTACCTCAAGGGGGCCTACAAGAAAGATGGGGAGAGGCTGTTCAGGAGGGCCAGTTATGATAGGACAAGGGGTAATGGTTTTAAAATAGAGGGAGGTAGATTCAGGTTGGATATTAGGAAAAAATTTTTTACTATGAGAGTTGTAGAACACTGGAACAGGTTACCCAGAGAGGTGGTGGATGCTCCATCCCTGGAGACGTTCAAGGCCCGGTTGGACGAGGCCCTGAGCAACCTGATCTAGTTGGAGATATCCCTGTTCCTTGCAGGGGGGTTGGACTAGATGACCTTTGAAGGTCCCTTCCAGCCCTAACGATTCTATGATTCTATGATTCTATGACTTCTGATTTCTCGTTTTATCTCAGTGATGCTGAATCAGGGCTGAACAGCTCCCAGTCCCAGCCTGTATATTTCAATCTTTGCTGTCCGCTGTTAGATGTTGATATATCTGGTTTTGTAGTTGATGTGGCTGAAAAATAAAATGGAGGAGGAACAAGTGACTAAAGGGGCCAGGCTACTAAACTAGACATTGCTGTTGAAGAAATGCATCCGAAGCCATAGCTTTGATTTGAGAGCATAAACCAGTTTGTTTCTTGCAGAAATGAGTGGGTGTGGCCTAATGAGGGCTGGGATTTGATTAGCATCTACTTGCTGTATTGTTTTCTTGCCTTCAGGTATCTAATGAACCACCCTTGGGACAGAGTAGTCGCATCCTTTTGGCTTGGACAGAGGCAGTCTTATTCAGTATGGTGATATCTGCGTTCCTCTGGTGGTTGTTGGATTTTCCATGTGGACTTGGGGTTATTTCTTCTATGAATATGTTCTGCTGGGTGCAGTTCTGCAGATGCATCCAATATTCAGAGTCTTACTTGAATGTTGAAACGCTTGGTTCAAAAAGCAACAGCTTTTAAACCCAGCTGTTTTTAACCCAGAGCATAGTGTGAAAATATGTTCAAATATTAAAGTTAGCAAAGATGAGGTAATCAGTGTATCCAAGGGTAATTTTTACCCATGCTGCTATTAAAACCTTTGCTTCCGCCAGCAGTGCTGAGCTAAGCACCTGCTGCCTGCTCTCTTGAGCTTGTACGATTGCTTATGGGGCCACGTGGTGAATGAAGAACAAATTTGGGTTAAAAATAGTTTGTTGATAAAGGTGTGTTTTTCACTGGGATCAATCCCCCAGTGTGGTTTGCCCTGCAAACTGCCGACTCTTGTACTTGACTATCGTAATCATGGCAATGCCTCACTTCCTATGGAAAACCAAGGCAAATAGATAAGGAATGAAAAAATTACGTTTCAAAAGTACTTCAACAATAAAAGGTGGTGATTAGTAATGCAGATCAGCAGTTGAATCAGACTAAGAAAATCTTAGCTTAAAAACCAGATCAGACTGAGTTTCTGTCTTCTCTGTAATTCATGACAGCTTTTTGGAATTAAATACACCAAAACCTTTTGGTTAGTCACAATTTCTGTGTGTGTATATATGCATATATTTAAGACTAGCTATAGGAATCGCGCAGTGCTCTGACTTGCTGTATCCTAACAACAAGTTAGAAAGTTATCTTATGTGAAAAATGCCTAGCCTACTTACAGCTTTATGTTTTATACATTTAACTCCTTCCCTGTCAGATCTGTTAAAAAACCATTTTTTTTCTGTGGCAATTTTAAATTGGACTGATAGCATGTGAGACTGGATGACCAAAATGCAGATCTGTACTGCAGCATGTGGCTCGTGAATCCTGCCAGAGCAGAGGGGGCCACAGGGCTCTGGGAGGATAAAACTTGATTAAAATGTAAAGCAAAGAAAACTTTACTCTTCTCCTTGCCTCCTACATACAGTTGTTCAGAATCATTTATTTCAACGTTTCATGATGTCGATGCAAGTCTGTTGGCAAAACTTTTTGCTTTTTTTCTTAAATAGTGTGTTGATGCAATAAATCCAAGAAAAGTCTGTACCTTTCTTAACAACCACTTTGTTAGCTATGACACTTCTTCATTTAAAATAAGATGCTATTAATATTAAGTTTATTGTATTTGGGGTAGAAAACTTATACTCAGTTATGAGCAATTCAGCTGAGTACCTTAGCTTCAGAAGAGGAACCTGGGATCTGAAACCCCTATCTGTATAAAAGTCAGGATCATTGAATTCTCAGAGGTGATTGTGTTGTGGGTTGTTTGGAAAAAAGACCAAACAAACAACAAATCCTCATCTTTTTTGGTATCTGACAAACATGCTTGTTCTTTGAAGTCTCCTGTTATTCTGACATGAATCGTATTAAATCAGCACAGTGGTCTCAGACATCATTTGCAGCTTTGTTAGACTGAAGAAGAGGACCTTGTACAAAATTTTTGTTGGCTTTTCAGCTTTATCAGCTACATTAGGAGATACTGACTGACCTACAAGTCTCCTGTCTAATGTTAAAAAAAAATCGCTACCATGTGCAAATAACTGACTAAATTTTCTAGTTGTCTCTTACAGGTAGTTTGTATTGGTTCAATGGCAGAACTGGAAGAGCTGTCTGGAGTGAAAGTCACTGATCTCCATCGAGAAAGGTCAGTCACAGACACTGTTAACTAGTTATTGAAAATAGTTGAGCAGACATAAAAGAAGATTGTGTTTTTTGGCCCAAACTCTGGGAGACAGATTTAGGGAAGATAGAAAAGCAGCAAGAGGACTTATGATTAACATGTGTGAATTTTCCTTTCTTCTGTCTTGGACACTGTTGATACAAAAAAACCCCAACCTCTACAATAGCTTTCAGTTGGAAGAGTTGTCAAAGGAAATGCTGGCCTTTTTGAACAATCATGAAAATTAGAAACTAAACTCCTGTCATACCTAGTGTACAAGCACAATGTTAACTTTTTTTGCTAATTCTTGTTTTTATTTAGAATTTGTCATTCTTTTTCTTTCCCGTAGTGTTGATCACCTAACTATCCCTTCACGCTGTGGCAAGGGCTTACTGCACCGGGTCCCTGAAGTTTTTGATTGCTGGTTTGAGAGTGGAAGCATGCCTTACGCGCAAGTCCATTATCCGTTTGAAAACAGAAAAGAACTTGAAGATGCTTTCCCTGCTGACTTCATCGCTGAAGGCATTGACCAAACCCGAGGATGGTAATTTTCTGACGCTTAACTATGTGATGTTATTGCCCTGTGACTAACACTATTACATCTGAATGATCCTTTAACGTTGTGTAGATAAGTGCATGATTTCTTTTTTTTTTTTTCAGTAAAATGCAAGGTATTCTAAAACTTGGTGACAAAAATGTTGCAGAAAGACAACATATTAGCAAGCACCCTTCCTAGTTCTTGTGGTAAACATCATAGGTAATAGGGCAGATCTTTGACCTGGTCAGGAAGAGTCTCAGCAGCTGAATTTTCATAGAACTCGAGATATCTACCAGAAACAGAACAGCAATTGAGTCAACTGAAATGCAAGTCAATGTTTTGAGGATTTCAAGCCAATGTATAGGCTAGTAATTTTTACCCTCTAGATTAAATTAGAATTTTGGGTTTATATGAGTGGAGGAAAAAAACAAATTTAAGTCAAACCTTATGTTGTTAAGATCTTGTCATTTACAAATATCAAGTTTTCTAACTGTAAACTTCATCTGCTTTTTTGATTCTTCTCTGGACAAATGCTTTTCAGTCATTGATGAAAGTTTTTCTCTACTCTCAGATTTTTCACTGGCGTGTTCTCATACATGAGTGCATAGATATAGTTTTAGTTTTGTTATTTTTTTAAGTGTTTATTCTATTTTTGAAGTTTGAGATTGGCTGTGAAAACTGACAGATTTTTGAGATGAATTTTTCTGTTTTCTAGATTAGTACATTTGGCTATGTACAAGTAGAACTCTTCCATCCAATAACTTGAGTTATTAGTGTTAAATAATAGTGTTCTGGAGCATAGTTGGCACCTCCCTTTGCCCACTCCTCTTCTCCCCGAACAAACCAACCAATCATCCCAAACAAAGCAGTAGGCGGTGAGTGTTTGCGTGGTTGTGAAGTTGATCACAAGGTTTATACACCCTCTCAAAGCCAGGAGGCTTGTGCAGGAAATGTTTGAGTCGTGATGCTAAATACCAAGAGGGTTCATGGATATAGCAAAAGGTGTCTTCACTTTGCAACCCTTTCCCTGTGATGCAAAAAATTATCTAGGTCCTCGAAATGGAAGTTGCATTTGCATGTTTGGCAGTGAGGGAGGGACTGCTTAAATCTCTTAGTGACACATGGACTCCTCATGGCATGCTGAATACTTTTTCAGAATATAGGTGCACCTTACCTGGGTGGTGTTATGCATACTGTTTGTAATGGGTCCTCAAAGCAGTAAACTTAGTTACGACTTTTTTTTTTTAAATAAAAGTGATAAAATATTCTGATTCCCGTCTGAGTCTGCCCTTTTACATGTATAGTGATTTGTTTCTTTTTTTTTTTTTTTCCCCAAAAGTAGTCCATGTTAGGCTATCTGTTTGTATTGGTCTTTAATTTTGTGCTCTCCACAGTTGTGTATCACAGCTTGTTAGTCGTGGTGCTTTTCAGTGTTTGTACGCGAGACTAAGTACCGTTGAGTAGTCCATCCTTTGAGGTCCCTTCCAATCCCTAACATTCAGTGATTCTGTGAGTAGCGTGAATCCCAGCAGTGGAGGAACATACTGGTCTCGTTTGCAGGTCACTATTTCGTGCTTGCTGCTCTTCAGGCAGTGTTGGATCCAGTATATACAGTGAACTCTACACTTCTTCATTTACTTTGTTTTCTTTACTGTTGCATATAGCATGTGGATACAGGACTGTGAATTTGACAAATGCTAATTTAGGAAGTATCACATATAAAATGGAACGTTATATGCTATATCATATAAAATATAATACCTGTTTCGTCTTGAAGAAAAGTGATTAATAGGTTTGGTTTATCTGGGAGAAGAACTGCTTTCTCTGCAGCAGCTGTGCTTTGGGGATGGGGGAGGCTTGTGCAGTGTTAGAATGAAGGAGGAATGGAGAACAACAGCTTGAAAATTATTACTAGTTGTAATACTAGTGATTCCATATATTAATCTTTCTGCAACATTGTTCATTATGCCTGTGAAAGGAGAATGAAAAACTTAGTTTTTCCTCTTTTTTTTTATTCTTTCCTTTTATCTGAAAAAAATCAGAAAATTGGGGGGGGGGGGGGGGGATGGGGGGTTTTTTGTTTGTTTGTTTGTTTGTTTTTAAAGAAACAAATAAAACCCCACATGATAAAGACATACAAAATGCATACAAAAGGCATGGTCAGAAATTGATTCTCTCCCTGATACGTTTTATAAAGATAAAAAGGCATTCATTGTAATTTAAATGCCAAAAAATTAAAACGAATTAAAAAAAATCTATGATAAAATAATTCTTACATGGTGCAAGGGAGTTACTAAATTATAAAAGTTCAACAGAATTAAAAATGGTTTGAGATTTTTATGTGGATACAAAATCTATTCCTCGTAGTTACAATTCCAGTAAAAATATAGGGGGAATGATAAATTTTTGTTTCAGGGCTTAGCTATTTGAGATTGGGATGTGACAGTGGATTGTGTCACGCACTCACTGCGGTGTTTCTTTTAGAGCTATCCTTTGACACGTGTGTGGGAGACGTGATGGGTGAAATAAGTCTGTTCTCATATGTCTCCGATGAAGCTCTCCAGTGCCATTAAAGAATGCATTTGTAATTTTTGCATAAGTTGGCCTTTCTATAGCATGATATTAATCAAAAGTTGAGTACTGTGCAACATCCAGATGCACTAAACTATCATGTTTCCGGTTTATAAAGTTATTTTCTTTTTTAAGTAACAAATGTAACCTGTGGATTTCAGTTCACCGATACTGACCTATCTGCAAGTTGCCGCTGAAAGCCACGTCCTTCCCTTTCCTTAGTTGGCTGGACTCAATCACATCACTGATTCAGCTGCAGATTAGTCCTGGAAAAAGGCAAGAGCAAGAGAAGTCCAGGCCGATGGTAGTGCCAGCGGTGACTGTGGTTGTAGACACACACCCGCTGTGCTTCGGTTCGAGCCCACGCACGTGGGCTGCAGGCAGTGTGCGAACGGAGACTTGCACGTGACGGTCTGGGGTAGATTGCTTTTTGGTTTTAACCTCAGCATAAGACTTTCTGTGAGTCTTCACCATCCCCGAGTCTGTTTCATCTGTTTGTGGGTGGAATATCAAAACACTTGCCTCCATACACGATGCTTACACCTTTCCCACGGTGCTCGTGTCTGTTAATGAGCTGGTGCTTCGATAACAGCTGGTGTTCTGTGATTTGCAAAAAAAACCACTTCTGTTTTGTGAGAGAGGGAAGGAACTAAGATGTGAGGTGGTGGGGTTTTTTTGGTAAAAGGTAAAGCTGTCTCAGACTGTTCTTAAGAAGGGTTCTCATTCTAAAACTGTTAGGCTTTTAGTTACCTTTTCCTAAGTCTTGGAAAAAACGAGGCTGTTTTGAAGAGAAGACACACGGATCTTTCTGCCACTATGACAGCGCTGTATCATAGTAAGCCTAAGCGAACAACAAGCTGGTGATTTCTGAAGTGTTAAGAGCATGTTATGTGATTTTTATTTTATTTTTATTTTATTTAAAGCTTTCTGTATTAAGTGTTAAGATTCAGAATGAAGACTGGTTTTGTGTCAGGTCAGAGGCTACAACTGATGTGAAGTGAGGACTGGTAGGTGGTGAAAGGCTCAGGAGGTGGGGGTCTGGTGGCTTCTGTTTGACTCAACAGAGAAGAGGAGACAAGGGGAAAATTAAGGTGACCGAGGTGATGAGCTGGGAGAGTGATCTTTTTGACTTTCTGTATGGATGTGAGAAAGAGCTGAATTAGATTTGTTAAGGCCAGGGGCAAAAATCTTACAGGAGTTGGGCTGCAAGTCTGGTGGTCAGGACGGACTGGTAGGAAAGGCTCTATTTGTGGTTGTGTAGGAAGATGAAACAAGATTTGTAGTCATGATCTGAGTGTGGTGGTCTCCAAGGAACTTGCAGCTGAAGGGTTTTGACATGAATCACAGGATTATGAATTTAACCACAGTTGTTCAAGAAAGGAGAAAACAGGAAAGGAATGCTTTCTTCCTTTTGGGGGTAGTGGAAAAGGTGGAAAGAAGAGCAGAGAAGTGGACTCTCGTCTCAGTGGTATTAAAGTTTTTTTTGCTGTTGTTTTTGCTGACAGCTATACATCTGCAAGGACATAACCAGAAGCAGACTGAGATTTGGTAAATGGAGGATGAAACAGCTGAGTTAAGGAAGTTGTCAGAAACAAGTGTCTGTGGACAAGATATTTCAAAAATGATGTGCAGAGACATGTCTTTAAAATATTCAGAGTGAATGGGGTGATTATTTTTTTTTTTAAATAATAATCTGAGAAAGAATGAGAAGAGTTGTGTCAGAATGGTGTGTAAACCAGTGGATCACGGGATCTCAAAGACAGCCTTGTAATTGTCATCAACTAAGGTACCTCATTGCTGAGGCTCATCGGATTTGACAATGCAAATAGCATAAAATTTTTGAAAAGTTGTTGGATTTTTTCAATAGCCATGGTCTGTACAATTTTCCTAGTACAAACAGCATTGAAATGTCTTCTAGTTGGTTCTGCTTTGTTCTTTTTAATTGCAAATGTACCTGCTCCAATAGAAGAATTTGTGACCAATTTGCAGAAAACAGAGTTTGTTGATGAAGTACCTTCATACTAAATACTAAAGAAGTACTGCTGTGTTTTTAACGAACTGTCAGACTTGTAGGCTTGAGGTGTGGATCACCTGAGTAAACACTCAGATGTTTGTGTTTAGGGATTTTCTTTAGAGAGCTGAAAATGAGGAAGACGGGGATTATGGGTGCATGTTTTTGTGTACAGGTGGAGGAGTGTTGGTTAAAATTAATGAAATTAAAATGCAGTTTAGTAAAGAGAATTTGTGTCCTGAAGTGTGAATTGAGGTAATTTTGAGAGTTGAAAGCCTGTCTGAGAGATCAGCATCAGAGCTGCCATGTAAGCCACTTAATAAATGCAGTAACGCACACAGCAGCCTTTACAGAACTTTGGGCCCTTCAGTGTCAGAACAATGCTTTTGCAATTATAGGCAGCTTTGGGATAAAAAATACTTTGGAATGTGCAGATGGACTTTTTCTTTTTTCACTAAAGTGTTTCTCCACTAGATCTTCATGCAACTGCATGGTTCTGAGGCATAACCTCCTGTGCCTTATTATAAATCAATTAGCTTTTGTATAATCATCTGCTGTTTTAAGGTTGCTAAGCATTTGTCAGTGTGGTACTCATTTTTAACCAGGAAAGCTGTGACCCACCCTGCAGTTTACAGAAGCTCATAGATATCTCCTTTGCCGAAGGTTCCTACTCCAGAGTGTGAAATTATCACATCATCTTGCACCTCCCTTTGATTTCACAGATATAATCATATCTCGACGTATTGAGCAATAGGTGCCTGTGCTTGCTCCAACATGGATTTCTTAAGTGTCCTACATAGCTCATAAAGTTATTGTAAACATATCACAACGGGAGGGGGGACCTCCTACTGCCCTTTGTTGTGGGGAACACCTACATTCTTATTTTCTAATGATGGCTAATTCAACCAGCTAAGTTTGTTTCATTGGAAGGAGGCTCTACTCACTTTTAGTAATTTGCTTTTATGCTCCTGGTAGTAACTGTTCTGTTGTCTGCTAGGTTGAATAGACATGCACACACACACAGTACACCGGTATTGCTTGCTGTGTTTGTTCCTCACTGATCGTGTGTTCAGAGGTTTGCAGTGAGCAAACAGGGAGCTTGTTCAGGGACACAGAATTCTCCTTGCTGTATTAAAGGGGAAAATGCTGCAATTCTCTTCTCCACAATCGTCCTAACGCTTACTATTACTGTTTTTCAGCCTTCTTGGGCTAGTAGATCACAGCTGAGCAAACAGCACAATATGCTACAAAGAGGAAAAAGGTCTACTTACAATAAGCTCCTCTTCTGAGTCTTTGCCACGTAAATGTTCCACATAGTTAAATTTTAACTTTGGAGTAAAACAACATAATGAATAATTTCTTTTGTAATGAAGGACATGCAGACTTTTAGCTTGGTGTATTTAGAAAGTCGCATTTATGTTGTCTCTCGTTTCAGGTTCTACACTTTGCTGGTGCTGTCCACTGCTCTCTTTGGAAGGCCTCCTTTCAAGAATGTAATTGTGAATGGCCTTGTTCTTGCCAGGTTTGTATGCCAGGCAGTTCTTTGCTGAACAGATATTTTTTTTTTTTTAGTCAAAGAATACTTCAGATAAGTCCCTGCAAATTGTAAATTAAATCTGAAATGGACTTTGGAGCTGTTAAGATTGGGCAGGGTGATGCCAGTGTTGCAGGTGGTAAGAGGCGCCTGAGAGTGTGAAGTTTACACATCCCAGGTATCTGTTGCACTTTCCAGCAGGTTTGATCCTAGAAAGAGAGAAAATGAGTCACAAGTCAGAATAGGAAAGAGTAGGAAATAACTGGTAGCTGCTATGCAGAGTAAAGGGGATGATAACTGTAGCTTTAGATGTAATTTTAAATAAGTTAAATATATTTGTTTATCTTTATTTTCAAATCTAGCTTTGATAGTAGGCTGGAGAAGTTGATTCAAACCAAGTGTCTGTTCCCTCAGTTTTTCTAGGAAAACCAGATTTTCTTCTTGGATTTGTAACTTGGGAGCCTC